CACAGAAAGGAACCACAATGGAGCCTATAGGTAAACCTCTAAGACACCCTAAACCCAAAATCCAAAACCCTAAATCCTGAACCCTAAACCCAAAAACCCTAAACCCTAAACCCTGAACCCTGAACCCTGAACCCTAAACCCAAAACCCTAAATCCTGAACCCTAGACCCCCTAAAGTGAGAGCCTCACCGTGCAGCCAGGTTCTTCATCGATGTCGGCCTGGTGGTCTTAGACTTCGTGCCTTTCGGCCTGGAGAAGCTTTAGGGTTTAGGGCTTAGGATTTAGGGCTCATAGGGTTTAGGATATAGGGTTTAGGGTTTAGGGTTTAGCATCTCAGGAGGTATAGGGTGTAGCCTTACCCCTAAACCCTAAACTCTTTAATTAAACGGGTGACATTCGGCGTCCTGTGAGGGTATGTAAGGGTTCCTACAAGAGTTTCAACAGGGCTTTAGCGTTTCGGAGGTTTGAGGGTTTATATTATGTATTGTAGGGGCCTAATTACCAACACTATAGTGGGGGCTCCTTAGTATAATTCTAGTATAATGCGCCCCAAAACCCTATTCTAATTATTCAGGCCCCTATATTACGGCCTCTACAGGATTCGAACGGGTTGTCGTAGGTGAGCTGCAGGTTTGAATGGAGGTTTGGGCACTGGCTTAAAGTTGTCGAGTTCGGAGAGGAGGAATTAGAATCGAAGTTTCTGTGGTTTGGGGTCCCGAAGTTTCTGTGGTTTGGGGTCCAGGGTTTACTGAGCTGTTGTGTGATAAGGTCGGCGTAACACGCCTTGATTCCAAATTCTCGATCGTCTTCAAAAAAGCAGCGGCCCAATGTTATGTTCTAGACATACTATATTATTCGCGTTAGCCTTTAGTTCGTCACAAACCGGACGTTCAGGAAACAGCACACAAAAGTTCCATGTACCTTGCTAGTATATACTTTGGCATCCAAGTAGTCTCTATATAGAAACTTTGGGGCCAAGGTATCTGCTAATTATTTGGGTACATGGAGCCTTTGGGGTAGCAGCCCGAAGCCGTGAGGGGTTTGGTTTAATATCTTGTCGTGGAAAATAGGGTAGCCTACTAGGGGAAGCTTGGTGTTGGTTACTTTGGATGCTGACTATATAATGATGTATAATCCATGAATATAAGACTGAAGAACCGTTTATAATCCTGCGTAAGGAACGTACACAACCGTTATATTGCCAGAATAAGTTCCTCTTCAACCCGCAACTCAGACGAAGATAAGCGCCCTCACCTCCCCCTATTGTAAACGATAGTAGGGGCCCGTTTGAACCTCTTATAACAGGCTACTCAATGGGCTCTTGAACGAGAACTTCCGAGCGTTCAGCCTCATTCGCCTATCTCGGATCACGAAGTTCAAAGGCTCGAACATTGCAGCCTTGGGGGGAGGCTGTAGGATTTGCCGAGTGGTTTGCCCAAGGACTTGGAGTTTGGCAAACTAGGGATTAGTTTGAGGGTCGGAGCTTTGGGTTTAGGGGTCTCGGGTCTGGAATTTGAGGGTTTCGGGTTTAGGGTTTCGGTGTCGGGGATTCGGGTTTTGGCATTGGAGGAGCAGGGTTGGGGGGTGCTCGACATGTCGTGTGCTGTCGGGCGAAGACATGCTCCTCGAAGTGTCCAAGCGATCCAAACCAGGCAGCCAAACCAGAACCAGCAACTGCACATCCATACTTAACTTCGGTGCGAGAGGAAACCCATTCAGATCAGTAGTATAGCACGAGCATGCCTTCTGGATAGTGGCAGTCGATATTGCCGGTGTGGCCGTAGTTCCGGCCCGTCACCGGCCTTTTCAGGCCGTAAGCCCCTAAACCCCATAAGCCCTGGAGTCCTTAAACTCTGAACCCTAAACCTTACACACTAAGGCCCTAAACCCTCGAACCGATGCCCGCAGGCAGAACACCCCAAACCGAGAACGACAAGGTCCCAAAGCAAGCCAAAAAGCGCCAAGACGGAAGCGATTTCATTATCACTACTCTCATTGAGATTACGACTCTTACTGCATTATCATATGTACAGTGTAACAAGCATTATGCAACCTTTGCGAGACATATCAAGCCCGTCAAGCCTTGCAATACCCTCGCGCAAGACAGAAAGTATAATATCCCAACGCCCCAAACCCCAAACCCTAAACCCCTAAACCCCAAAACCCTAAACCCTAAACACCAGACCCTAGACACTAAACCCCAAACCCTAAACCCCAAACCCCAAGCCCTAAACCCCCACACCCCAAACCCTAAACCCCAAACGCTAAACTCTAAAAACCCTAAACCCCAAACCTAAACTCCTACACCCTAAACCCTAAACACCAAACC